ATCTCCGAAACGTCGTTTTACGTTTTTATATTTACTAGACGATGGATAATATCCAAGAAAATTTTTATTCAAGATTGTATTTCGTTAGGTAGTCGTAAAGTCGAAATAGCTTTTGAGTTTAAAGACATTTGGTAACATTCTTCAAGTTTTATGTTGGATCAGTTCGGACCAAAATTAAATTCGCCCTTAACGTCGATATCAGAATCCCTTCAGCTGGCAAACGCAATGATTTAACTATCCGGTTCTTTAAGACAATGAATTTATTGGCACGATGAGCGACTACCAGCTTCTCGAGAAGAACTCTGTTTCATAGTGATGGGTTTGGATACGATTCATACTGACAGACGAACGCTACATCTCCTTTTGTGCATTTTATTTACTTCGTACAAATGACATTATAGTTCATAATTTCATAAAGTGTAAGCTAAATTCCGTCTCCTAAGGATTTTCATACGTTAACTCATTAAAGCACAGTCTACCACGTGCTCATTAACTCGAAATTTTGCCCATAAAGTGTATTTATGGTTTTCGTAGATTCTCAGAGCACACAGCGATAATTTCCATAATCTTCATTAACCAGTTCATGTTTTTAGTGGAGTTGCTTTGTTTTCGTTGATTCAAATAGGTCTGGTATTAATGCTAACGTTACGTAGTGCACACTTTAAAAAAAGAGATTCTGGCGACCGAGTCTTGGCGGTACAACTATATCTGGATCGGAGGAAACAAGTTAGACAGTTTTTTAAGTTTAAATTAGCTTTGGGTTTCATTTATTTAATGCGCTGATAGTCAGTAAACCCTCTAACCAACGAAATGTAATGAACTTTCAGAAAGGTTAATGTCATCTCTTAACTTACTCTGCTACAGGTGAGTGTGTCTGTATATTTCAAGGCCTAAAGTTATTTGATTTTAAAAGGCAAAGAGGTAAAATTGTCTTCTTAAACATTTTTAACCTTGGCGCTACTGGATAGAGGTGAATGATCAGCTTCACCCACGAGGAAAGAACCCCAGATACGCATTGGATAGGAGGCTGCGTGTATGTCATGACCACTGTGGAGAATAGAAAAACTCTGCCCTTCAGAGAATCAAATCCCGGCCACGCAGTCCGTAGCCAGTCACTTTACTGAAGGGTGGCGTGTTAGTAGAACTGGAATATTTGTGGAACCCCTTAACGGTACATTTCATAACTATGGGGTTGTTCCCATCAAATCAACCTTCAGGTAGAATGAATAAAAAAAGTTGAACCGTTAACCCTCTTAAGTTGCTTTGAGACGAAGGAATGGCGTCACTGATCCATCTTTTGTGGTTTTTAGGGGCAGGTGTATCAAACTTAAAATACTTTCGAGGTGGGACGATAGTCAAAGTACGGCACACGAAATAAATAAATAAATACGTGTATGGCAATATTCAAGTACTGTAGAGTCCTATCAGCTTTCTTATACGTGGCATGGAGAACTCGAAGTGTAGTAATAAAATCAAATCAGAGAAATAAAACTCGAGATTTCGATGAAAATGCCAGGTTTTTGTGTGCTTAGAAAACCTTCATGTGTAATTTCGTTTTTCTATACAACAGGTTATGAGAAATGTGGAGTGAGGCCCTGTTCCAATTAAGTTTTATTCGTGTCTCATTCCCTCGAGAACACAAGAGAGTATATAGTATTTAAACTAACCCTTTAAAGCACAGTTTTTACAAAATGTACTATTTGCTTTAATGTTTGTGTGATATTCAAAATGAACGGCGATTATTTCGAAGATGATTGTCTTTTGGGATTTTGCGCCGTGTGGTCTGGTAGAAGTTTACTGATGTTTCAGAGGTAATCCCAATTTTGGAAATACTGTTGTACAACGTGAATGTGTTATTTATAAATACAAGAACCGTATAATTCGTTCAGCACTATCTAACTAAGGCAAGTGATGTAGCATTGTTAAATAAGCGGGTATCTAAACCAACTGAGCTGTCCGTGCCCGTCCTTCATTTGTGCTTCGTATCCACTCTACCTCAGATCTCAATATAACGGGAACTTTATAAAAAAACACAGATAAAAAATGTGTATGTTCCAAGGGAGGGTAACACAAAACATTAAGGGTTTCTGTAAATATTAGGTGTCATAGCCTCTGCTCTACCTGACGTAACCCTCTTTATAGCTTGTGTGCTTACCAAAGATACATTTCCGCATTCCTTTCTTCAGGCATCCACCAAACCCTTCCTCTTTTGGACTCCACTACGTTAATATTGCTTTAAAATACTATGTATTAAGCCGGTGTATATTGGTTTTTAGAGTGTTTTTTTTGGTACAAGATGCAAGTAGTAGATACACTACCGTGTCCAGACATGTCGCCATGTATCTGTAAAATGACCGAACGTATCTGACATTTGAGGACCTCATGGTAGTATGTCTATTGTAGTCTCCTGACTTAATTATTTCAAGACCATAAGACCTCCATCGACATACACATTGTATTTCTAATGAATTGGTGTTGCGTAAGGTGCCTGGGAGGTTTACAGGATCTTAAGTCGTGCAGATGGAGGCAGTATGTTCCTCTGAGACGAGATCTGCGTACAAATTTATATGACATTGCAACCAAGAAGATCAACCTAAACACACTTGTCATGCCATTCTCACTCCATTCTTATAATAGTGTATTTTTATTTATTATTTTATTTAGTGTTCTGTCTGACGACAGGTCCATATGAACAGGATCCTTCCATCCTTTTCTCGGACTGGGACCTGTTCATATACGTTCTTGGCAGATGATCCAGAAGTGGTTTGCCATTGCCTTCTTCTGTGTGTGAATGGAGTAATTGTTGGGATGCCACGGAGGAAAACTCCGTGTTGCCTAGACCACGGCCTTGCCCAACACAAGTTATAAATTCGGATGTAATTGAAATGTCCTCATTAGCAAAATAACAAAGAAAGGAAGAAGGGATATTTATTACGGGGGCACTGTTGAGTCTGAAAGTATAATATCAACAAGAGTGTAGTTGATCCTAAAAAGGCCACTTCAGTTTAAAATTATGAATAATTTTCTTTTCCAGTGAACGAGTTTATGGTGAAGTTACATTAGCAAAATAACAAAGAAAGGAAGAAGGGATATTTATTACGGGGGCACTGTTGAGTCTGAAAGTATAATATCAACAAGAGTGTAGTTGATCCTAAAAAGGCCACTTCAGTTTAAAATTATGAATAATTTTCTTTTCCAGTGAACGAGTTTATGGTGAAGTTAGTAACAGACCATTACCAGCAGTTCAGGTTTAGGATTATATGAATGGGACTGCAAATAAGTAATTTATTAAAATGTCTGATAATTATTTGTAGCAGATTTCTCTCAGAGACAGTGTTTGAAATGTTTATTCCTTACAAAGACTGAAGAAATTAAACATGACTTATGTGTCACACTGTAGTTCCTGCTTGACAATGGTAAAAGCCAAATTTTACCAAGTTTCACAGAAATGGCTCAAAATGCTATAAACTGGTGTGACATAAATTATAGATCTAATTTAAAAAAAATTATATTACTTCCAAATTTCAGTTCCTGTTCCTGTGACTTATTCATTACTTCTTCCATCACTCAGAATTGGCCTGATTACTGCAAGAGTTTCTTATTTCTACAACAAAAATGTATACATAACTGTATTCCTAATACATAGACCATAACTTTCCAGTCCACCCTATTTTCTTGTAAAAGAAAAAAGAAGGAATCCTAACTGTATGCAGTAACAAAAATTCCAGGTAGCTTATTTTAATTTAAGGGTTGTTCAACCCCTCTGTCTCCTCCCACGAATTTTCTACAAGTCCTTTGAAGGGCAAGGGAGGATTAAAAGTTCAAGGTTTCCGAGTTTTTTCAGCCCCTACAAGCTCTTTTCTGGTTAAAAAAATACATATTTCTTTCCTCCAGGTTTCTTCTGATTGGATGAAGCTCTGAAGTTGTTTAAGGGATGGTGATATAAAGGTAGTGCACTTCATTCATTTCTCCAGAAGTGATTGTGAAGTGGCAGAAATATAAAACTGAACAGGTATGTTACTTTAAATGTTTCTTTCAGTTGTATTTCAAGCCTTTCCGTACTGTGGATGAGATATTGCAGATAGAAAATTTTTCCATATAAAATATACAGTGCTGTAATTTCGTGTGTCTTCATGTATGTACATAAGTGAAGCTAGAGGCATCAAGGACCTCTGAAACGTTCCTCAGGATTTTTCATTCAAACAAATCCACTTTATGAGGAGAATGTTAGATAACATAATAATAATAATGAGGATATAATTAGCTTGACGCTTTTATATTTTTAACATAGTTATTGTAGAAAACAGAACAGCGTGAATTGAGCACTTATGTAGTTATAATTATCTTGTATGGAGATTTAAGTATGGATATTTTTTTTTACTTGTGTTGTGTACAGAATATCTGTTCTTTATCAGGATGGTGTCCGAGACCTACAACTTCTTCATTCTGCTTGTGGTGGCTGTACTGTGTACCGGTGCCTGTGCTGAGGGGGAATTGGAAGATGAAACTGTTTCTGTCGATAGGAATTCACTCTCGTCGATCAGGCTGCCGAGTAAATTTAGTTTACAACAATATGTGAGATATATTTATATAAAATTTGCTGTTTGTGATGATATTTATGAACGGGCTTTATGTTCTAGATGACATGTCACTGCCGGCAAACATGCTGCAACTTGTGACTGCAGCCGGAGCTTTGGTACTTGGATTTATTGGTGTTGCTGTAGTTCTCTCCTTGATCCTGCCGCTATTTGGAGTTCGCTTCTGTCATCTCGTGGGCACCTGTGATCATTTTGGTACGACGGCTTACTCGGGCAGTGGCGTTGGCCATAACTATGATGCGTACGGCGCTGCGGGGACGTACAACCAGCCTTCCCTTTCCTACGCTAACAACAATTTTCAGAAGCGGTAAGCATACAGATTTAATTGTCGGTTAACACTTATAGGTTAGTGGTAAGTATACTTGCCACCCAATTTAACATTTGTATCTCTTCATATCATTCACGGAGTCTGATTTGGTTCCCAGAATAAAGAGCGAGCGCTTCCTGTCGTACATTTACACTCATAACTGTGATGTGAGATGTTTTCTTGGGATATGTTTAATTTGTGTAAGTGCATAATTTTGTGGAATAACAAATATCCCGCTACCATAGCCAGTCCAAAATCACTTGGTGTGATTTTCCAGTAAAATTTGTTCTTCGTGTCTTTGTCGCGTTAAAACTGTTTTAGGTTAGTCAGAATAAGAACGGTGGGATTTCTGCTTTTCCTCACTGTGCTTCTGTTGTGCCTTTTGGCAAGTCTTGCATAGGAGCTGACTTAACAAGCCTTTGAGCCCATTTATCTGAGTTTTATCGATCATTTGACAGTATCAATTAATTTTATAAAGTTTTGTACGCATTTTTATTTCCCCAGTACGAGGTACATTTATCACCTATTTCAACTGCCTTGATTTAATCATTGTACTTAACAATTTACTGAGCAGAGGTATTGAGCGTTAAAATATGTTCGTGTAACTTAGCCGTCATTGTAATATTTTTTATATTTCAGGTCCTTGGAATATGTGGGCCCAATACTGAAGGCATTGAGCGCTGCTTACGATAAATATGCAGTGCCTATTATCAATAAGAAAGATTAAATTAAAAATAATAAACTCAAACTTTTATTTGGTATTTAGATGTTGCAAGAAGATCTTTGTAAGTTAATTATAAATTCATGTGCCATATAAATATATGTATGGATATTATAAACTTTTGAGTTTCACACGAACATTTCTTGTGGTCGTCGAAACATCCAGGCATAGAGAATAGATTATTTGTGTTATGGGCTGTTACTTTGAGTGGAGTAATCTGTACGAAGTAAAAATGTTTCATTTCTGTTTTATATTATGTATCTCATATAGAAAGGTTTTCGGCGAACTTAATAGTTTATTCGTTTAATCAAAAATTTTATATTTCCTTTGATAATGACATATTTCTTCTTCAGGGTATCAGAGTTTTGGTAATGTCAATAGCAGGTACAAAAGTTACGCGTATAGGAAATAATCCCAGTGACTAGCGTATTCTGAACGTAGAGTGCACTGTAAAATATTTAAATTTGTTTACAAACAGTAAGGTGTTAATACTGATGACGTGCGACTAGAACTTTTATTTATTAATGTAATGGATTGTCACAACAGAGTTGGTAAATGAAGATAGCTCAGTCAGAATTGGTATAACCATGTCAGTAGAGACAAAAGCTTTCTTCTTTGCCACCAAGTGTGGATTTTTTACCTGTGTGACCCACCCAGACAGTTGGAGCTTTAATCTGACCTCTCACCTCCATCTCAGTGTCCACCTATACTCTGCTGTGGTGTTATGCCTGTGCACAGTCGCTGCTTAGCCTTTGTCGTAGTACAGAGTAAATTAAGTTTTAGGTTTTGAGTTTTGTGTAGCATGGAAAAGTTTTATTAAAAGATTATTATGCACTATTTTTAATAATTTATCTAGTTTTGGGGTGTCAGAAATAAGTGGACGACGCAAGCTTTAACCCCATCAGTGTATTTCCTGTATCACGTTCAATCTTACGTCCTTGATTTAAGACAGTTTCGTATGCTTTTACCATCGAGTTGGTCAGATAGGTAAATAGTTGGTCAGTCGATGGTTAAAGCCTCGTATAAGGACAACTTCAATTTTTTTTTAATAATCCAAAGATCGGTAGGTTCTGGTCTTCGTATTTCTTTTTGTACCAAATCCCACTGTTTAGCTATCCTGTTTAAAGTGGGGACGAGCAGAGACCACCTTTCCCGACTCGCTCACCTTATTATATTCCTCAAACCCTCGAGGCAGACCAACTACGTCGCGGTGTTTGTCTTTAAAAGTCACTTGGCAGAAGATCGATATTTAAAGTCAGATCGTACAAGAACCTTTTCATTTAAATACTGATTCACTAATTTAAAATATGTTCACGGTTACCATTTAACGTTGGGCGTATCAGTACAAGCCTTCAGTGTAAAATTGCAGAATGCAAGAAGGGGCTTAGAATGCGGATTGATTCTTTGATATTATGTGAAACTGTTTTTGTGAACGTTGCGATGAATCTTCAGATTCTATAAAAGTAGGACGTTTCTTGACTAGCTGTGTGATTAATTAACTTTACGAGACCATCACCGAGTCGCAGTCGTAAAACCGCTGAATGTATGGTGAAGGAAGTATCAGTTCTAAAATGTGGGTAAAGTTATGGTTAAGATTAATTACCAAAATTTAATTTGATTTTTTTTAACGTGTCGACAGTCAGGAATATCGAGCGCAGTCAAGTGGGCTTTAAGCCCGTTAACAAACCTGCAGCGTTCTGAACACAGAGCTTTCATTTTTAATAGTGTTGTGAGAAGTGACAATAATTAGCTGAGTTTTATTTTTAGTCGTGCGTTAAGAGGTGGTCTGGTATACTCTGTGTGAGCTACAGCCTGTTAGAAAAACATATATCCTCCAGCATGAGTACTCACAGGAACTCGGTGGTACTTCTGATATTATATAATGGTTTCCAATTACATACATGGAAACAAACATAAATTTGTTAATTTGAGACAAGATGCCGGGTTGGTTAACATTGAGCGTTTAGCCAAGGTCTAAGGGTCGTTGAAAATTTGAATGGGCTTTATTAAATTAAACACTGGATTATTTGCACAATAATATGGGCATTCAAATTAACATGTCATATCAAACAGCAGAGGAGTGATAACCAATGTTACCTTCAGGAATAATTGTTTCTCTTCTCCTGCAAGGCAAGCATAGACTTCTTGCCCTCACCCCGAAATCAATATGGCTTATTAACATTTTACATAAAATTAGTCAATTAAGTTGTATGTTCAGAATAAAAAAATAATGAAAATTTTGTGCACAGGGAAGTAATGTCGCTCGTCCAGCCTCAGTATTATATTGTGCTGTAATGTATTGCGATATGTCCAGAATGCTAGCGTACATAGGATCTTAACAAATAGTGTGTGGGGCTGTGGACTGGATTCATGTGGCTTAGGAGATTCTCATATGGCCGGCTTCTTTGAACACGGAAATGAACCAAATTACTTCATAAAGGAAGGGTGGGATATATCTCCCAAGTGAATAACTGTCTTCTTCTCAATATGAAACCTGCATCATTTAGTTAACAACAATAATAATAGATCATGTTCTTAGATTTCTCATTCACTTTGCATCTTATCACCTATCTTTGTTATCCATCATCATCAATCACATTGTTCAGCTAGCGCGTGCTTTTTAAAGGCCCCCTGAATTAAAATACTTCGTATCCTATTTTGTGCCGCGGACAGGAACAGAAAAAAACTTACAGAGGCGTGTGATAATGCTAAATAACACGGGCGTTGTGCCTCATCTGTCAACGTCACGGTAACCAGGTAAAGGTAACCACTCCATTCTCGCTTTCTGCGAGATACTGCGACGTGCATGGCGGCACGTAGTCTGCAGAGCTTCCGTGCAGATTGCCAAAGCACGCAAGGAGACGGGTGAGGTAGCTGTCAGCTACTGCTAGTTAACTCCATAGCAACACTGAATTCTTCGTGATAACACTCTTCAGAAATTTCAAATGATCGATATTAAGACCCACCTATATAAGTAATGCCTCACGGAAGGAAGCTGTATTAAAATGGTTCTGAACGCGCCATTGGAACGAAATCAGAAATTGTATGCCTTTTAGAAAGGACTGTGTTTAGAGGGAAATTTTACGGTTCAGTCATCCTGGACAATCAAGATTATACGAAAAAATTAGAACATCAATGAATAGTAATGAAACGCGCTAAACAAACAAATGACTTGTATATTATCGTTGGCGAGGATGGGGAGAGGAGAAATGCTGATCAAAATGAATTCGATATGAATGACCCATAACTGTCGATTCAAGTAACCTTGGAATTAGTTCCGTAATACCAGCACACGTCACTTCCGCTCGGACTAGGTACGTCTTCGCCTCGTGGTGGTTCTACTTGTGTGGTTTTGTTTGTCGTCGCTGTGAGTTGAATATTCAGTTAGAGTACTAATCATTTACAACAGGCGTTGTAATTAAACACATTCCACACCTTTTATATGTGATATTTTCAAGTCTCGGAATAGAAATAGCTTTGTGTAGGAGTAAGCCACGTCAATTTCACATAAGGAGGCGTTGTGTGTGATCGGGCTGATGGCAGGTGACAGGTTCCATGGAGTTGATATATCGCAATTGATACTCCGAAAATAGTTTTTAATTGGTTCATATTACGTAATGAAATCTTGTAGTGATTAAATTTTATTAATAATATGAAAACACTCATATATTAGTAAATACGTTTGTCACGTGTACTTTTTAATTTCCAATACTCCAAAACAAAGTGAAAAAGTTGCATTTTAATTTCATCGTATTATGTTTGTACCACTGGGAGATACGATATCATGGAATAGTTTTATAATACGTCTTTTTTTGCTATAAAGTAGCGTGTTTGACAAATGGTCCATGCGTATAACTGTCTAGATCTGGTATTTAGACTGTATAAATCGTCTTCATGCATTCTTTCGTTAGCATGAACAGCAAATGGGTAGGATTATGAAAGATTGTTCAGGGAAACGACTGGACGTTAGGTTGTAGCAAATACCCATAATTTGCTAAACAACATCTGATACATGATCGTTAAACGACGTATTATCCATTAATTACATTTAAGTAGGTCTACTTTCATGAAACTACACACACCATTATGCCGCAGTGTTACATAATTCAAAATGTGTTAATTTTGTAATACAATATTATAGAAGCCTACGCCGTATTTTTGTGAAGATTCAGTGAAATTTTACGTGTTATTATGTGACAACATTTAAATATACAAGGCTTCTCCTGTGACCGCTTCGGTTTATTAGTGTTTGTGACGGAAGTCTGTGGACTCTGCTGACCTTGACATCGTTCCAGCGTCCGTCGAAGGCAAGAGTTTCGAGCCTGGGAAACTGTGATGGGATCGACGCGCAAGCCGTGAGTGGATTTTCCTATTACTTTGTAGTTTCTAAGATGCCATTTCAGCCTTCGTTACACAATGAACTTTCTTCTAGTAGGATTTAGTTAGAAGTGTTGGTCTTGTACGCCACAGGATGCACAGCTCGTACTGTGCTATAAAACAGTCTGTATATGTGTTAGATAAATATGTATTTATAGTTATGGCACATGAATATCAGCATGAGTGGTCCTGGGTTCAAATCTAGGCCTGGGGACAGGCTATCTTAAGTGTGGTATTTCGTGATTTTTCACAGTCCCACCAGTAAAGTTCCGGGATAGTATCTCCGGTTAGGCTGCAATTTACACATTCTTTCTAGTTCATTGTTCACTAAATATCCTGCGATTCGACTGTATTTAATCTGAGTTATTGACAGCGTCGTTGAATAGAGTACAGACAGGGAAACTATTGGATAAGCAGTATGGCTAGAAAACAGTTTAACGTACCACTAATTAGAATTGAGGACAACTAGGAAAGTTGAATCCTGACAGTTTAACCGATAGCCCGATACAGTTTTGAGCCTAGAGCCTACGAAATACAATTCCGAAGGCTTCCCATGGGACGAAGCAGCCTGTTCGGTGTGCTGTTGAATACACCTAGGACGGCATTGAAAAGCAAGTGGGTGGGTGACAGCGAACAGATTGAACGCGGAGAGAAACCGGCTTACGGGGAACAATGGTGTGGTTTAGACACGTCACTTCCACTGTTGATTAATGAAAAATAGCCACGTGACGGGCACAAAGGTAAGCCGCCAGGATACTGTGACGTTTCCATTCAGCCTGGCTTCCATCTTCCCATCGCACAGTTCCAGACGCCTTCCGTAATAAAGGAACTTTGCCTCACGGGTTCAGTCTTCCTGTAGGTTAAGTCTCTGAAACAGTCGTCTTTGAAAAGCGTGACAGTTTTCAGGGTGTTCATGGAATTCCTTGTGTTTTATAAAAGCCAAAACGTTTATTATGGTGTTCACAAAAACCTGATATTTATGTCTAGGTGTTCCAAATGGACTGTTCCCTTAAGGTTTACTGAGAAAAATTTTGTTTGCATTTTGTAGAAGTGGGCTGTGAGAGTTTTCACTGGATGGAATTGTCACTTTGGCGTTAGAGACGTTGAGCGTTCGGGTTGTCAGAGATGTAGCTAGTTTGTTAGTTAATCAGGAAGTTAGTTGTTGGTCTGTTAAACTATCAAGGCGATTAGCCAGTCTGTCATTCAGTTACTTGGGTGGTTGTTCCGTTAGTCAGTCATATAATGAGTTAGTAAAGAGATTGTTTCGTTCAATTAATCAGTCAGCCGGTTAGTTTGTTAATTAAATACTTTGTCAGTTGGTCAGCCACGTTCCAAATAGTGCCCATTGTTTTCAATTGTTTTCACTTGAATGTTGTCCCCGCGTTTGTAATTCTGCGATGAATGTGCGACTTACACCGGTCTTTATTTCAAGACTTCCACCATCGCAGAATAGAATTTGTAATTATTTTCCTAGTACGACGTCAAAACCAAACTTGAAGTCTGTTGTGAGTGTCATACGTGAGGGTAGGGAGGCATTGCCGTGGACTTTCACTTGTTCTTGTAACGACCTGGCCTGCGACTGACAAAGTGTCAGCCAAGCAAACATCTTCTTCGTCATTAAAAACGCAGTACCAAGTGGAATATGACAAAAGACGAGAAAATTACGAAGCAATATGAAGAGTCATCCTTGTAGTTCTGTCTCTTTCTGGGCAACATTCGGGCGTGACTTCATATTTGCGTGTTGTTAAAATCATATTTGATTTATAACTAACTCCATAGAGCAGAGTCCTACTTGATAGTCAAGAGGTTAATGAATTAACGTCTTGTTATGGGACCTGAAGGTTCATCACCCGGTTCAGAACAACGCGCCACCGGTCCCTGTCGTGAGCCAGATGAATCCAGCCCTCCCCTTCCCACGCCGTTTCCTAAAGATCCCCCATCTACGCCTTCTAAGTTATCTGTAAGTTTTAGCCTTTTCAACCAAAATTTGGACATCCTAATTGTAATTGGTGAAGAGTAGCCTACTAAGTATGAAGATTCTCATTATGGCCTTGTAATCCTGGGGTCTCGGGTTAGAATTTATAACTTGTGTTGGGCAAGGCCGTGGTCTAGGCAACACGGAGTTTTCCTCCGTGGCATCCCAACAATTACTCCATTCACACACAGAAGAAGGCAATGGCAAACCACTTCTGGATCATCTGCCAAGAACGTATATGAACAGGTCCCAGTCCGAGAAGAGAAAAGGATGGAAGGATCCTGTTCATATGGACCTATCGTCAGACAGAACACTAAATAAATAAATAAAAATTCAGTCCTGCATTTTCCCCCACAGATTGTATTTGTGAGTTCCACATGTTTCTCAGAGTAAATAGAGGTTATTAACGTAAACAGCATTAACCATTAGGACTCTGTAATGGAGATGTATATTTCTTACGTAGGGACTGAATTTTTATTTAGATGAGTTTCGGCTTCAGAGGGTTAATACACGGTAAACCTTAGTTACAGAATACAAAGGAAGAGACTGAGAAAGATTAATCCCTGAGAAGACAAAATACTGTGCTAAGAAAAGGCTTTTTTTTGTTAACTAATTGTGCTTGTAATGATTTACTTCTTTTCATTTCCCATCCACACTGTAATAAAGAGGCTAGAACACAAAGAAATGAAAATATGTTAAATTAGCTTATATTATTAAGTAGCCCAAAGCGGAAATTTGAAAAGAACTTACAAGAAGAATTAACTATTAACATATAAAATGCTTCTTCCTTCTTCATTAGAATTCAGTTAATATTTAATGAAGATCAAGAGTTCTCTTTCGAATTACAAAATTCTCAGATTATTATTTCCATAATAACATACTCTATGGCCTTTATATTCCGTTGTTTCCATGATTACTTGGGAATAGTATCTTTAGTCTTCAGCTGTTTTTAAATTGGTTTCTTTTTGTAACAGAGATTTGTGTAGGGCCTACCTCTTTTCCCCTTTGTGCAGAACTGTTCAAATGAAATATCTCATAATACGGAAGGCATTTATTATTCTCTATATGCAGTTAGCTTTTTTATAATATTTCACGTAATTACTGTTGAATAAGAAATTAAGATAGCTATAGGCACAAGGGACAGATATAAGATTTGGGATTCTGGGTTGTTGCACCTTGTAGCCTGATATAAGTTTACAGACGTAACAGGGACTTGCTGCTTCCACCATCAGGGTGATGACTCTGACTATATGTAGCTACAACCCAGAAGACATCCAAGGAACAGATTTATTTTTAATTGAATTTGTTATTTGTTCAGTTTTGCCCTCTGAAGACCCAGAAATGACATCACTTTGAACTTCCCTTTATTGAGAGTTGGGTTCATGTCCACGTGAATCACCTAATAAGATTTGAACTAGTGTACAGATTTTCTACGAAGATTTATATGGTCTTCATTCCATTGGAGGTTATTTATAATCGTACATTACAATTCCTTACTCAGTATGAGCTGTCTGCTGGATATCCAGGTTCTGATTTCTGATAGGGACAAAGTTGTTAGAGCACGAAGCTGAACTCAAATTTCCAAGTAAGATTTGAGGTTTTCACAGCGGTGAGTATGTAATATTTCTGTCTTCTGGGTTATTGCGCTGTGTAGTCTGGTCGATGTTAACCGACGTTTCGGAGGTCATACTGCCTCCGTCATCAGGGCGATTCATCGCCCTGATGACAGGGAAGCCAGTAGTTTTCCAAAGGTAAAACCGAATTTGACTCCTCTAGTCTTATAGGCCCTACAAAATAAGTACAAATAAATGTTTTTAATCTCATAAAGGGCATTATATGACCACGTACAGAAATCAAAAATGCATAAGCCAGGCCACAGAATTATGATTCAAACTACATTTATTTCACTTCCAGTAATTACAAATGTTACAAAAGTGATAAATTGTATGAAATAAATGAATTGTACACTTTACAAAAAAATCATGTCAAACAATAACTGCTAATAGGAAACTTAGCCATTAAATTGGATATAAATTAACTTCAACTGCTAATATAATACAGTGAACATAATATTTTAATGGATTCATTAACAAAGAAACACACAATAGACGTAATTAAAAATACTGTGCTATAAAATGCTCACACATTTTGCGCCTTCAACAGGATCTTAAATTCTTGGGTAGATGGCAAGACAGTGATACTATTAAATGTAATTCCAGAAAAGCTTCCGAGTCAATAGAAAGTGACGAAATAAGCATATATTCTGATTTTAAGAAATCTAGTTAGTAGCAAATATTGTTTACAGTAAAGCATTGAAAAACAATTCTGTATCATATTTCAACATCTTCAAGAAAGCCCATTTATATATGGTGTAAGAATGTTTAACTTTACCATCACTTCTAATAGGAATAACAAATTTTAGGGTCATGTTAATATTCAACCCAAACTTATATCCTGGTATTTCTGAACCATTTGAATTACAGTGTTGGATAAAATAATATATCTTAAAATCAGCGCTTTCCACTTACAGCATTGAATATTAATATAATTAATCTATTTAGTTAGCTCTGTTAATTACAATTGTCTTACAGCTTTCAGTAGAACATATTTAACATTTTTATATTAAATTCCACACTAATTAATGAAGTTGTTTCATCTGAGATAACATCATTCCATAAAATTTAAAACTTTGTTCGTAAAACCTAACTCTTTTTGTATCTACCCATAGCCACTCATAGTTACACTTAATCGTCAAAAGATGGCAGAGTAGGCTCCTTTTCAAGGGTGTCACAGAACACCGAATAATCATAAAAAGAACTCGAGTGTTTCTAAGCAAGGCATCTTGTTAGTGGCACAGAAATGATTAATTAAATTATATTAAAATATAAAACTGGATTTCACGTAAGACTGGCAAATAGGCCTAAGATTTTGTGATAACCAATAAACTGCTGTATCAAGTGGTTCATAAACAGAGATAACAACTTTGAATTAACAAGCTTTTTCCGTATTATACAATTTTACATATCTTTGGCTGTAATAATAGTCACAAATTTAATAACACATTATCTTTTCATTGACATTTATTTTGTATAACGTATTTTCATTCTTATATTAATTTTCGACCCCTTCCAAAGCTTTTGGTTGGGAGGGGGGGGGGGTGATGGTTCCGACAGGTAACTAGTGGTAAAGAATTGGCATCCTTATGATCTCTGGAAGTATCAGATAATGACATCATGATAAATACATAAGAGTTTTTATATGTGAAACAATTTAAACAACCTTCTGGTTCCTGCGCCGTTTTGGCATTACGTCCTCTTCTTTGACACTTTCCATATCCTCCAGATATGTGGTAGATGTTGAATATCTTCCGGTATTTTCCTTCTTCACTCTTCTCAGCAATAATGCCATACCTGTACCAGCTGCCACAGAGAGAAAGATGAGAACTGATACACAGGCAACCGTGACAATCCATGCAGGTGGTGAATCTTCTACATAAAAATTTGTATTTCCCTCAGTGACACGATCGGCCACGTACCTCTCTGCTTTCGGACCACCTCTTGATACACAGTCTGATTCCTTTATATATTTTGCCCAAGTCCTACTTGCGTGCACGTCTTTTGTTCGTATTCTTGAAGGAGTCTTTGGTGACGGGAAGCTATTGAGTTCATAATGACAGAATAAACCCTTTTTGCGTTTTCCACTGCCAGTACTGATATCTTCTGGAGCAGTGGTAGAGCCAACAAGAATTGCCAAGTTTCCTTTTGTTACAGACGCCCATTCCCACAGTTCATGTATACTGCAGTCACATTTCCAAGGGTTTCCCATTAGTTTAAGGGATGTAAGGTTTGGATTATTTGAAAAAACATTTGGCGATAATCGATTAAAATTGCAGTTACTGAGATCCAAAGATTCAAGATGTGGCAACTGCGTAACAAATTCCATGTCTCTGGATTCTGAACCAATGTGATTTCCCGATAACTTGAGCTTAGTTATTTTTGGGGTGCTCTTGAAAGCATCTTTTGGTAAATTTTGCAGATTACACTTGCTTATATCTAATACCTGTACATTAGATAGCTGACGTGGAAGTAATGGCTCTGATTCAGTGATGACAAGAGGATTCCCTGATAAGTGTAGTTCATGGAAGTCTTCATAGATGCCAGTGCTAAAGACATCTTCCTCCGGTGGATGGTTCAACCCACAATCATTCAGCTCTAGAGTCCTCAACTGTGTTAAATTTTGGAACAATCCAGACTCAAGATCGGTAAGGTGATTTCCAGAAAGCATCAACTGTCGTAAATGCGTCATTTTTGAGAATGTACCACGTGATATATGAGACAGATTACTGTAACTCATATCAAGTATTTGAAGAGTCTCCAAAGGTGACAGAATTCCAGTAAATGCATCATTCAAAGGATTTCTTGATATGTCCAATTCTTCTAGGGCTGTCAGACGATGAAAAGTGTTTGGAGGAAGATGTGTGAGTCCACAGGTCTTCAACGACAACTTGTGGAGACGTGTCAGTGGTTCAAGTGCCACAGATAAATCCAACGCTGACAGAAAGTTACCAGAAAGTAATAAAGTTCGAAGTTTTGTAGCATTTGCAAACGCATCTTCTGACAGAGGCCCCCTGAGATGACAGTTTGACAAGTCCAGTGTATCAAGTTGAAGAAGATTCTGACCTAATGTTGTTGCGACATCCAAATCACGAAGCTCATTTTCAGCAAGGACTAGACTTCTGAGCCAATTATTCTTTACAAAAGCATCCCCAGGAAGATTATTCAATGCAGATTTTCTAAGATCTAGATATTCTAGAAGTTCCAGGCTGCCAAGAACCCTTGTCCACTGCACAGTGGTGAGATGATTCTCAGACAATTCCAGTGTCTTCAGGTTTGTCACATTCCTAAAAGCTGTATCAGCTATATGAGTCATGTTACAGCGATTTAGTTTCAAATGCTCCAGGCTTGTTAGTGGATCAAATATTCCTTCTTTGATGGATCCCAGTGGATTTCCAGATAAATCCAGTTTGTTGAGGGATGTAGAAAGGGTGAAAAACTGGGTGGACAATCTGGTCAAATGACAGTCACTCAGGTCGAGGTACATGAGGGACCTTGAGGATAGGAAAGGTCCATCAACTGGCTCCAGAGGATTCTCTTGGAGTTCAAGAGTAATTAGTCCTGGACTGTCCCTGAAACATACAAAACATAATCCGCCTTTCGATTTACATATCCCTTGCAATTGCTCTTTTATGCTAAACTTTATGTAATAAAAATAACTTATGTTTTGTATTGTCAAGGGAATTTTTAAATTGTAACAGTGGAAATTTGCAGTAGGTTAAAAGAAATTGGAGGAAATCTTCTGTTGATAGCACATAATATGGTAGAAAGGCTATTAGAATGACAGTGTATATCTTTTTTGTAGCTGAGAAAGTGGCTAAGCATTTTTAAGCAGAAGCATTGAGGCAACTTCTTTAATCACTGGATGAAGACGTGTTTATGTTTTGTATTCAGAGAATACAGAAAAAAAAATAAACAAATTCCAAGATTAGGACAAAATTTCATGACTTCTTAAATCTACAACTTATTCTTTCGTATTGCTTGTGGTCAAACATGATGATCCCACTTAAGAATGTAATTTTTTATTTGTATACAAAGCCCTCTTAACTGATACAGATGTTATTTTAATTCACTGTTTAAACTTCAGAGTTCATGTAACTTGGAATGGGATGATATCGGCCGATACGTACACTTTACATAAAAGTTATAGATATTAACAATCTTTGTTTTGCACTAGAAGCAGATACATAAATAATTTGGATTTGAGCTTCATGTAAAATATGACTTAGGATTATACTGGATTTATAGCGACAAACAAATTTTATCGGACAACTTTGCCTGTTGGAAGTAACCAGTAATTTTAACTGGAATCGAGACCGAGAACACGGGACAGAGTACGAAGAGCTCGGCAGTGTCGTTCAGTTGTTTGCGTAAATATGCCAAGATTACGTCATGCCCCTGTATGTTATGCACACGTTTTGTATTTCGACACTGAATGCCATCACGTGCATAAACACAGTGGCTATTGCGCCATAAATGCATATTTTACGATACCGACTTGTACAAATGAAACAGCATTTGTTACCCAAATCTATTCGTGAAAAGAACAAGAAACGATGGTTTGAAACCGTTCGGATTGGTGTAAGGGCAGCTCCTCAGACTTGTATTCTGGGGGGGGGGGGGGGGG